ACCCACTTACATGTGAAATTGGATTTGGAAATATAGCCAGTAGGGATACACAAATCTGTCACTTATACGGTTATACCACACAACTTTCAATTATTTTGAATAGGTAACTTACCAGATTTCCACATGCATGCAACGGTCGAAAAATGTGCTCTTTCATTAAACTATAACAGAATCATATGCACACTGGTTCATGGAAGAATGCATAGTGAAAATGACGATCTGAATAAAAACACCCTTTTACAGATGGTGGCGGCAGTTAATATTTTTCCATCAATATGATTATTTGAGTGCACAAAACAAATTTATGTGCTTGCACAATCCCAGAACGCATACTATATTTTATGGAATCAATTGGATGTCAAGCACATGGGCACAATAAAACTTCCAAATGTGAGTCTAAGTGGTACGAGACAATTATATTCACAAAAACATACCTTTTGTATGAGAGAAGATTGAATATAATTTCATCTTACCAAACGGGATTCAATCCTTTCATTCTTCGACGGAAACATCACGTTCCAAATTTCTTTTCCAATGAAGTGTTGATTTACCGACTTGATCGTCGCCATCGTAGTTTCATTCTCCATCGCACAAATATCGTTTGAGATTGTTGGGAAATTATTCACCACTAGGGTTGGAGAAGAAACAATGCAGAAAATTAATCAAGAGGATGAAAAAATGAATCAAGATCATGACGAAAATGGAAGGCTCAAACACGACGTTACATCGTTGTCCTCAAACGATATTTGCCCCCTCTTGGTATTAATGTTGGTGCTTAAAGGATCTTGCGGCAAACGGTTTGAAGGATTGATCAAGCCTTGAGTAGAGAAACACAAAAGCACAAGCATTTCTTCACTCGAACTTGAAGAACATAAAGGGAATATGTGAATGTGGAGGAAGAAATAAATTTTCTTTCTTGTGGAATGATGACAGATTACCATATGTTTTGTAATCTGATTTCCATGTGTTTTTTATGTCCAACAAACACATATTTGTAGCCATGAATCATAGCTTCACGAAGTGGTGCCAATACTAGTGAAAAGGCGCCAAAAAATATAGCAGCAAAACTGCCTAACTACCTGCGACGGTCTTCTCGTGACTACCATCGCATGGTTCAACCATATTGAGCCTTCTGAATTTTGTAGGTGCCCATGCAACCGCATGCGCATTAAGCCTGTGGCCAAGCGGTCGCATGGTTTAAACCAAAGACCATGGCAGCCTCTTTCCGTTTAGTCCACACTTGTTCCATTTCCATTCCACACTCTTTGTTTATTGATTATTTGAACAACAATTTCCATCAGTTGTGATGTTAACAAAAATGAAGGAGGCAAAATGAGACATTCTTAGCATGTTTGCAGATATTAAGATTACCATCATTTTTCAAAAGCATTGAACTGTACAGTCTAAAAGATCACGTTCATCCCAAAAATTGCATAGCCCACATATGTTTAATTGATAACAAAAATTTAACAGTTCAACTACAATACATACTAGAATTTGAGTTTATATTCATTAAATGAGAAATTGCTCCTGAGAATAAATTATAGCAGACAGCAGTGACTCTCGAATCTGGCAAAACGGAGTCAGATGTGAGAACAACACTAGTGATGTTACTGTTATGAAAACAGCACAAGTGTCGTTACTTATGTAAACACGATACGAATAATTGATAACTTGTATATTTAAAAATAAATTGTTATTAGATCAATGATATTTAATTTCTGAATATCATTTATATATTTTCTAGGTAAAATATTAAAAACGGTACCAACGATGTTTTGTTATAAAAAAAAATATATATCTGTCATTATGGCTTCATTGATTCAAGTATATATTAAATTAATATGAAAATAGATACCATATTTAAATTATCAAAGTAATCACAATATATTATCAATAAGGGACAAATCATAATAGATACCAGTTGTACTATCATTTTACATGGAGGATAACAACTGTAGTGTCGTTCTACACTACAGATAACGACTGGATTGTCGTTTCCAATCGTTATCGTCCAATAGTTGCGGACGATACAAATATACACCAAATGAGAAAATAAAATCAATTAAAATATCATTTTATACTATATTAAACAATAAAAGTACCAATGTAAATGAGATTTCTAAAAATACCTTTCTTTTTTCTTTAAATATAGTGGAAATCTCAATGTAGATAATATAGATAATAAAATTCTTGTTCAAATGCTCACAATGTTGGAGAAGATAGAAGAAAAATACAATGAATATCAAGATTTTAGGGAAGAAATCACAGAGAAAACAGGTTAATGCATTTTGTAGATGAATTGAGGAATTTAATTGGATTGAAAGGGGTATTTGGGTATTTTCCATAATGAGGGTATTTTAGATATTTGACATTATTTGTTTATTGTATTTTATAAATGAAGGCCATTTGACCAAGAAACATTGAAGGAATGTTATTTTATCAAAATCATTGTTTGACTAGGCTTTTTTATCAAATCCCCCAAATTTGATGCATATTTATCTCATGTATACATAGGTGAATGATCGTGGTGGATATTTATCTCATTTAATACCAGAAACCGGAGTTATTCTCCATCTGCTTGGGTAATCAAATTATCAAATTCGATAGAAATAGAGGCATGTCTGGCATAGTTTATAGCTTCCACTCTCCTGCCAGTTTAAGATCTACGGCACAGATAATGTCGCACCAAAAAACATCAATTTTCCCTTTCCATTTTCACTTAAAATATAGGGAAAATTGCAACGACGGTCCTGGCCTTTTTTATTTTTGTAAACTTTATCATAACCTTCAATCAATTTATACTAGTAAAGATCTCTAACATTTCAGAAATATGTATTTAGAGTCCCAATGGATGAAATCCATCAGTTTTTTCGTTAGTTGACCAAGAAAATGATTTGACCATATCATTAATTCTTTCCATAAGAGTAAAATAGTAACTTTATCTCTTTTTATATAAAAATAAATTAAATAAAAAATTTAAAATCATCATTATCTTCCACCCCTAACGCATCCCCCATCCAAATCTCACCCCTACCTCTACCCCTACCCAAAACTAAAACCCTACTACCCAACACCACTACGTCCGCTATGCTTTCCTCTATTGCCAAATGGAACTCAAATGAAAAATCAAAATCAAAATCGAACTATTTGATTTGGAAAACTAGATCTATCTCAACCTACAACCCCACCACCACCAATCTAAGTTAAGGAGGCGGAACCACCACACCACCACCATTAACAAGCCAATGAGCTAGATTTGAGGAAAGAACTACCACTACCACACACCCACCTCCGCCTACAATCTACAACCATCACAAACTCAGTCAAAACCAGAAGCCCATCCAGTTGTTAAGATTTAGGATTTCATCTTAAAAGATCATCCCTATTTTGAGGAGTAGCCCGAATCTTAATAAATTGGTTTATATTTTCATCTTTGTTTTATGTGAGATTTTTATCCCTTAACTTGTTCCCGTAACATGGTGACTTATTTGAACAAATCAATCCTTTTTTTGAGACTTAATCGGATTGAAATGCTCATTGGAGTTTAATCGACTCTAATACCATGTTAAAATTGAGGGTTCCATCTTAAAACATCAAATTTATTAAGAGGAGTAGCCCAAATCTTTATAAATTAGCTTATATTTTCATCTTTATTCGATATCGGATTTTTATCCCTTAACATTAGCCACCATCGCCCCCACACTATCACCTCCCACCACCAGTGCTGGCAACCATTAATGCACGATGGAGCTCTAGATGGAATTTCAACTTCAAACTCATCAATGAAACATCACACCATTGCCTCTTAAACCGAAGCTGAAGTCCTCTGAATCATTAGGATCAAGATTGATGTTCAATTTGACTTATAGTTTTGATTTGTTCGCTTTATTGGTTCTGTAGTCAGTGGTTGACGGTTTTCATTTGTTTGGAGTGGCGTGAGGGTTGGGGTGAATGGGGATTTGTGGGGTAAATGGTGTGGAAGATGATGATATCTTATTTTTGTTATTTTTATTTTGTAACTTTTTTAATGTGAGAAAAACGCAAATTTATCATTTTATCCTTTTTAATTTGGTCAAAATTGATCAAATTTTGATTTCCTTTGTCAACCAATGGTCAAATTGATGAATTCAATCCATTTAGATCCTAACTGCTAATTTCTCCATAGTTTGAAACCTCCGCCGGCAAAAATTGAAAATTAAGGTAAAATTTGCAAAAATAAAATAAAATAAAATAAATTTTAGGAACTGTTGTTACAGTTTTCCCTAAAAGATATCTTCTTACCTTGTTTTAAACTTTTTAAGGGGTTGTTTGAGCCCAATTTTTTTTATCAAAAAATTTATTTTAAATAATGTTATGATGAAGAATGTGTGGTTAAAAAATAATGAAAAGTTTTAGGTTTGCATGTAATATTATTTTATTAAAAAATGTGTAATTGAAATTATGTAAATTCACTGTTGAAAAATGTATTTTAATGAAAAAATGAGGCTTAATCAAGGGTTAAAATTTTAAAATTTTGACGAGGAATACTTGACAATGACGTTCATTGATATAAATAGCCGTTACTTCTAATTTACAGCTTTTTACAATTACAAAGAAAACTGTAAAAGTCATAACTTTGTTATGCATACTTTAAACTCGTGCAATGAAAGTTAGTTGAATAAAAATAAGTAAAGATGAAGAAAACCGATTATAGCTTCCACTATAGTAGCACAATTATTATACTGACGCTGCTTGGCAGATGCTGCATGCCCTTCGAATTCGGCACCCGTTTGGTCCAAGAAGACATTTCCCTACAACTTCTTTTTACGGCTCAACTTCAAGTAGTACGAGGTCAAGTTTGAAAAAGTAAAAACATCTATTGCTATCAACCAATCCACAAGGATCAATCTAAAAACCCACTCACGACTACTCCATGGAGATCAAATATGTCAGTTTTAAACATACTGACATATTTAGCCCAAGAGCATTTATACTCCAACTCCATAGTACGATAGCAATAATAGTAAGCATAGTGAAGAATTAGGTGGAAATGATATCACAGAACGTATATCTACATATGATATTTAACATTTAGAAGTTTGTACTTTTCACTGATTACGACTGTGCAGGAATATGAGAAGAAGAGGGACAGAGAGGTAGGCGGGACTAGATACGAAGCTAAAAAGTACAGCATTACTAATTCCATTTCCTAGCCGATACTTCAGAAGAGCCCTTCACATAGATTAGATTCATCAAAGTTATCGCCATCAAGTTCAACCTTTATGGTATCAACTTCCTCCTTTAAATTAATTTGTCGAAGCTTCATCGCTCTCAGTGATATCTTTGCAGCACTGATCTGTTCACCTATCTCATTTAACTGCATCAGACGTTCTTGGTATCTAGAAACTGTAACTATATTTTTAAACCTCTGTTGCAACCATTTTACCTTAAACCCAACAGCTTCTGCATCATCTATCCACTCCTGCATGCGTTGCAATTCACCAGAATCAAGGCTCTTGACAGTATGGTTGCTCAACCGTTCAACAACTTTAGCCAACAGCTGGAAGAAAGCTGCCTTAGCCTCGATACTCTTGAGTTTGCTCTCGTTACTGATGTCACCATATCTGCATAATATTTGGTTAAAGATAGGAGCATACTGAGCCGGAGAAGAATTCTGCAAAGCTAGAGCTAAGTCCTCGGAGTCTGCACATGGAGAGGATTCACGAGATGCGAGACTCCCAGATGCTGAATGACCAATTTTATCTCCATCGAAAACTTCGGATTCAGTAGATGAATTCTCAGGAGGCTCGTCATCAACTTCCTTGACCGATGGTTTATTTGCTTCAGTAGCCATTTGCTCTGCAGTAGCAAGATGCACTTTGGCTGGAATGGTTGTCTCCTCAATAGTGCTAGTGGTGGGATCCATAGACGAGTTAGCACAATCCTGCCCACCAACCATAGTGCCTTGTTTTTCATCCTGGTCTTCACCTATCTTTGCCATTTGATCTATTGGCACCTTTTCAACACTTTCACTCACCTGGTCATCCTCGCTACCAATCTTGTCATCACCCACCACAAGATGAAAATCAGAACAATTATAATTCCCAGCAGAGGAAAAGATGGTTCTGAAATGATTTAAAGCAAACTCTGTACACCCAAGGAGAAATTCCTATTTCCTACTATTCAAGACAAATGTACATAGAAATTCTTAAAAGCACAGAAGAAGGAATTCTCACACAACACGTGCTTTCAGACAGTGGTAGAGGCCAGATGAGCGCTTCCGAATACATCGTATACCAAGAAAGTATAGTGAATTATTAAGGTTGACAGAAACAATAGGATACAAGACATTCTAGATTGCTTCACTTGTTATATAGTAGCTTTTAAAATTAAGCTAAATGCTTAATTTGACCACTACATCACATTGAAAATCGTTTTATGAACAAGAAAGATAAATATGGTATACGCTTTTTGAGTCCCATTTGATAAACAAACATATTCAGACATAGTCCAGACATAAGCCAACTGCTCATACACGAATACATGCAACAGGCAAATGAATTCTGGGAATTCAAAATATTCCAAAACCAGAATTTTTTTTCCTTCCTAATCCCAATCAACAAACTACAGACTGCAAATCCAAAATTTTTATATTTCTCTACTTACAACAAAAGTAAACAAATAGCTAATTATCAAGAAATTTTTATCCATTCTCTGACAACTAATCCATAGAAAATATAATAAATAAATAAAGTAGTGAGAGGAATTCAATTTTCTTTGGACATACATATCAACATATTGAAGGCTTGATAGATCAATTTTCCAAGTTCATTGTGCCAACAGCCGACCTAATTCTCACATATGAGTTCATTAACATGGGATATTGCCTCAATGTCAACCTGACCGATATTTTACATATGCTGACAGCATAAATCAATTGTACTCTCATTAATCACTAACTACAAAAGGCATAACCTTTTTTCTTGTTCCTACTCAAGTAAGAATGTAAGACAACTTACTCAAAGCAATTTCCATTACATTACTCTTTTGATTTGATCCGTAAAAAGCACTACGATAGCATGGAAAATATACCACTTAAAACAAAGTAAATCTAGCTTTCTGATAGTGTACACAAAATATAATGAACGCTGAAGAAAGCGACCAGAAAACCTCACGAGTAGAAGACGGAGCAGCTTTTGATTGTGTTTCTGATGCTGATGAGGTCACAGGAATGCTCATTTTGAAGGATGGAGATAAAGAACTGATAGTTCCAGTAATGGTGGTGGCGCTGTTAGAAGAGGTCCGGCACGAACCGGAGTCAAATAATCCAGTAGTGGCAGCGGCACTAGGAGCAGATGAAGATGATACTAATGAAATGGATACGGGAGTCGAACCTGACCCAAATAAGCTTGAATTGGCTGGAGCCGTAGACCCAGACAGTGGGAAAGAAAATGAAGGAGCAGAAGCGGAGGAGGATGACTCGAACGAGCTTGAATAGATGGGAGCTGTAGATTCGAAACGTCGGCAGGTACGAAAAAGAGATGGAGGAGCAGAGGCCTCGAGAGTGGAGTAGGTCGACCCGAAGGGGCTTGAAGAGACGGAAGCTGAAGACCCAAACAAAGTGTCGGTGCATGTAGTAGCAAAGGGGGAGGGGGTTGACACGAACGAGAATGAACTCCGAGAGATAGGAGCTGGAGACTCAGACGGTAAGAAGGCAAAACCAGAAGAGGAGGCAACAGACAGTGAGGAGGAGGCACCAAAAGGAGATGAAGCAACAGACGACGAGGAGGAGGCACCAAAAGGAGATGAAGCAACAGACGACGTAGAGGCGGCACCAAAAGAAGATAAAGCAAAGCCCCCACCAAAGCCGGGGGATGAAGCAACAGACGACGAAGAGGAGGCACCAAAAAGAGATGAAGCAACAGGCGACGAGGAGGCGGCAACAAAAGAAGATAAATCAAAGCCCCCACCAAAGCCGGGGGATGAAGCAACAGACGACGAAGAGGAGGCACCAAAAAAAGATGAAGCAACAGGCGACGAGGAGGCGGCACCAAAAGAAGATGAAGCAAAGCCCCCACCAAAGGCGGGGGATGAAGCAAAGGCGGGGGACGACGATTGTTGTGGTGAGAATCCGAACATACTTGGAGAAGGACCCGAGCCAGAAGAAGAGGAGACTAAAAGGCTAGAAATGGAAACTTCACCGGAAGAGGATCCGAGTAACTGAGAAGCAGGACTCCAGCTGGAAGGGAGGACCGGAAAGCGAGAGGCTCTGTCTACTTTAGTCAGTTACTTTTTGATCCATGGAACGAGTTGTGGTTTACGTTGGGTGATTACCATTTTTCTCCTTAAGGTGAAAGCAAGGGCTTAACGTCATTACAATGTCCAAGTGAAATTGCATTTGTCGTGTTTACTTTTTCATCATTAATAGTGATGCGAAGTTTACTTTATTATCATCTTTTTTAATTTTAAAGATGAGTGCTTTATGAGATACATATTTTAGTTAGTGTTGAGTTCGCGAATTAGACCCTTCGTATGGTCAATCGAAAGTCACTCCACGTGTTCCTTCCTGCACACAAGAGCAAACGATCAGACGTATATGGTCGATACCAGCAAGAGTGATGGCGGCCGCATACACTACGACGATTAAGTTAATGGACGGTGATAGGAGTGGTGTCGGAATTGTGTAGCAGAGTGGGGGAGGAGACAATATGGCCTATGTTTGAGTCACATTTTAGGAAAAAATGCATTATTCATGTCACATCAATGGAAAATGGTAGTTAAAAAATAAGGAAAAGTTTTAGATTTGTGTGTAATATTATCTTATTGAAGAATGTATAGTTGAAATGATGTCAAATTATTGTTGAAAAATGTATTTTTTTGAAATAATGCGACTCAAACAAACCCATATATTAATTGGTTGTGGAGTGCCTAGAATTAAAAAAGATTACTTTTGTCTCTTACCAAGCATTTGGTATTTATAGGCAATGGGTACCACTGGATGTGGGACATGTATATGTATCTGACGGCATGAGACGTCTGCTCGTAGCGTCAATCAGGCGCATCCTGCAGGCGGATAATTAATTATTCTAACATGTGAGTAGACATAAGGCTGAGATGTCGCATCAATCAATATATGCCGGTAAGGAGATCCTGACACAGAGATACATCTCTAAAACTGGTGGCGGAGAGGTCTCTGCACTCCTCCACCGTATGGCGCCTCGTCTCCTCACACTTCGGTATCAAAGGACGCCTCGAATAATGCTTCACACGTCAGTATCGGAGAAAGCCTCGGATAATAACACTTAGGTAGTGCTTGTACCTCACAGCACGCCGACTTGAGGTGAGGCGTATATCACTTCAATGAAGCCTCGAATTGTCGCGTGGCACCTCGCTGGAGAGTGGGCCTGACTTGCCTGAGGTGGTTAGTGAGAGCGTAATGAGTAGTAAGTTATAATTTAATGAGCATTAATTGGTTTAATTTTTGCATGGATGGAAGCATTTAACGTCGTCTAAAGTGCCGGTGGAATTTTCATCGGCCACGTAGACTTTTCCGTCAAGAGATGTAGACGCACTCATAATGAATGGTGGATAAGAATTTTTTTAATAGACGGGTAAGTAATGAGGAACCTTTTTGGTTGGTGAATAAATAGTAATAATTTAAAAGTTTAGTGAGCATTTGTTGATTTAACCGAATAATTAAACAGATTTGCTTTTGATAAAGTTTTAAACATAAAGTTGAATATCAGAATACTTGAGAAAAGCCGACATATATAGAATTGCTTTTGATAAAGTTTTAAACATAAAGTCGTGAATATCAAAATACTCGAGAAAAAGCTGAAATTATATACTTTTGGAGTTTAAAATTGCTTTTGATAAATTTTAACAGACTCTGTGCAGATACACACATGAGATGGACTCCACATATGGGATTTACATGTGGGATCCAGCCCCCATATGAGATGCCCTGTACTGCACAGACCCTAAGCAGAAAGCATTTTCCAAAGTCTTAAAGATAAAATTGTGAATTATCAAAATACTCAAGAAAAGCTGAAATTATGTACTTTTTGTTAAATTTAAGCTTTTAATGTGCCAATTGAACAAATGGAATTCTAAGATCTTACGCCATCTCCAACATTACATCAAAATTTACACTATTTTACACCAAATCAAAATTTTTCTCCAACCATTACACCAAAATTTACACCAAATGAACAGTGCTTTATTGTTTTATTCATTTTTTCGATTTTTGACAATGTATTTTTTAAAATTTTATTTATTTATTTATTTTATAACTATATAAATTACTAAATCATAACTTCGTTAAATTAACAAATATATTGATTACTAATTATTTACGTGTTTTATATATTATGTTAAATTGACAAAAATAATTGATTATATTATTAATTTATGATAAATAATTAGGTTAAATTTACAAAAATAATAAATTTTAATAATATAAACTTTACGTTAAATTAAACTTTAAACATAAACTTTACGAATTAAACTTTACATAAAATTAACAATTACGTTAATTATTATATATTATATTATTAAAAATAATAAACTTTAATAATATAATTAATAGTGTAATTAATTATTATTATTGTCATCATCATCATTATCATTATCATTATTATTTTAGAACGAAAATGATACAAATACCCTTAATCATTATTTTTGAAAAATGAAAAATAAGGGCAAAACGGACATTACACCTTTGGTGGAAAAAAAAAAGGTGTAATGAATAGTATTGCACCAAAATTTGGTGCAATGGTTCCTCCAACCATTGCACCATTGCACCAAATTTTGGTGCAATAGGGCATGCATTGGAGATGCCTTGTTATTTGGGATTAAAATAAGAGTTTTAGTAAAGTTTGATAAAATTTGATGAAATGTGTGGTTGAAAAGTTGTGAATCTTATAAATATGTAATTATGTTGGAAGATCTTATCACAGCCATAAAATCAAGCTAAAAATTTCAAAGGCCAAAATGATGTCTTATATTTATGCCCCAACTGGCCCTCATTTTTTGGAAATGAATATTGATGAGATAGTGCTTTTTTTTTTTTTTTAATGAGTGGTTAAGAAAAATGGGAAAAGTTTTCGATTTACGTATAATATTATTTTATGAAAAATTGTGTGATTAAAAATAGGAGAGAAAAAATGCAACGTAATGAAATAAAAATTAATGGACGGGGACTACATCTTACATTTTTTAGACCCTTTTCCAACCATTTATAGGCCTAATTCCGTTTTATAGCAATAATTTATACACATAAATGATCAATGGAGTTGATAATATTGGACTTGACATAAATCCAGTCTTACATAATAAACACGAGCTATATAGATACCACGTATATTAAGTCGAAGTCTACATATACCTTAAGTTGTTCTCTTCATTGCCTTGCCCTTGAGTTTTATCTATCTAATCATTAAGAATTTATTTGACATGATTTTTACATTTTCTTATATTTGTTTGTCAAAATCCCGCAAGTGTACATGTTCGTTGTACAAGTAATAATCGTGGTGAAAGAGTTATAGTCCCACTGGGAATAATGATCAATTATAGTATATTTGATATATTTAAATTCGTGTTTGTAACCAAATAACAATCGAATGAATAGCTAACTAATTTTTATAACTAAAACTTATGAAAACAATGAAAGTTAGTTTAGAAATCAAATGTGCCACTGATCAATTCTTAGTTTTAATTCTCAACCACTAATAATTATCTTAATTCATGCAATTGCAACAATCGATAATTTCACTTTTATTTATTATTATTTCCCAAAATATAATAGATCTATGATTACCACGAGACGATCATATTCTTAGTTCAAATTCATATGGCAAACGTGAATTGACATTTAGAATTATCACATATGATCGCACACGCCACAAATATTATTCCTAACATTTATTGCTTGTGTGTTCCAATAACAGTATTCTACCTATCGTGAGTTTCCAAAAACTACAAATGAGCAACCTATTGTCCTAATGGTGCGCAAACATTAAAACAATGCAAATAGGCATGTTAATGGAATCCAACACAAGAATTAAGATAAAAACACAAAGTCTAGAATTAAAAACTAATAATTAAACAATTTTGTTATACATCCAATTTGTTAAAAGACTTAGCCTTGCATAATTTTGGGATTAAACAAATAAAAGTGGAAGGATATCACCGAAATTTGACGGAATGTAATTAATTCGTCACTTTTTCTTGGCTCTTAACCATGTATGTGTGTCTCTTCCCAAGTTGCTGGCAATTGTATATGTCTCTCTTCCAACTTTCTCCCCGTTTTTGTGCCTCCTTTCTGCCCAAAATGCCAATGTGTGTATATATAATTCCAAGCTGGCCACCAACTTCTATTTCTGCCAAGCTGCGGCCTTTATGATGTTAATGAATTCCCAGTCGGCAGCCTCCCTTTTATTTATATAAAATCCCCAAAGTTAGCTCCCTTCAATGTTTTGTCTTCTGCCAATGCACTTACAATCACCAACTTTGTATATAAGCTAGTCTTTGACACGTGCGTTGCACGAGTTTTGTATTTATTATATTTTTATTAGTGTTAAAATTGTAGATTTTTTAAAATTGGTTGAAGATTCGAAGTATTTTGTGAAATCTAATCGTTTGGTTCTTTACATTATCGCAGGATGCATAAAGATTTCTCTTTCATTTTTTACTTTTTCCTCATTTATTTATTTTTTATTTGTTTTGTTCATATTATGAATAATTTTTTTCGATTTAAAATCCTTTTTAATTCCTTTTTCTTTATGAAAAAACTTAATTTTTTTCAATTTTAATTAAATAATATTTGCATGTTCTTTATTTAATTTTCGCAACATTCTTTTGTTTAATTTGTTTTGTTTTTATTAAATATTTTTGAAGATTGTTTAAAAAAAATCTCTATATTATAAATAATTTTTTGTTTGATTTAAAATTCTTTTCGTTCTATGATTGAAATTCTTTTTTCTTCATATTATAAAAAAACTAAACGATTTAATAAATTAAAGATATTAGCGTTAAAATTGTAAATTTTTCAAAACTGGTTGAAGATTTGAAGTATTTGGTGAAGTCCAATTGTTTGTTCATCGGAATATCGCAGGATACATGGAGATTTCTTTTTCTTTTTTTATTTTTTCCTCATTTATTTATTTTTTATTTCTTTTGTTCATATTACGAATATTTTTTCAATTTAAAATTCTTTTTAATTTTTTTTTCTTTATGAAAAAACTTGATTTTTTTAATTTTAATTAAATAATATTAATATATTTTTATATAATTTTCACAACATTCTTTTGTTTAATTTTTTTTCTTTTTATTATATATTTTTTGAAGATTGTTTTAAAAAAAAATTCTCATAATATAAATAATTTTTTGTTCGATTTA